TTGTTATGACTCCCATAAGTGGTGTGTATCTACTAACAGGTACATACCGATACATGGTGGCCTATCAGCATTCATCGAGTTGCCTAAGAACGTGTAAAGTAAGAAAGCAGTCGTAAACATTAGAAAGAACAATCCGTACTATTTTCTCTGGTCGGTTACGACATCCCTTCATCCAGCAAAAGATCATGTAGACAAGACCAGTTCGTACCCACACATCAGCTCAGTCTAAGGTATGAAGGTTTGAATTTTCCCAGTGGCTTAAAGGACATTCCAAAATTCGAAAAGATGAATGATTTAGTAATTAACGTTTACGGTATAGAGTGTGATGGTGGTAATGAGATAGTACCAATTTACCTAAGTCACCAAAAATCAGATACAGAAAGGATTCACCTACTTATGCTAGAAACAGAAATTTATTCGAATGGAGATGAAATATATTTCACAGATTGTAATGTTTACCACTTTGTTTGGATCCGAAATCTGTCTCGCTTATTGAGTTCTCAAATTTCAAAGCGCGAGCATCGTACCAGACTGTGCGACAGATGCCTATGCCAATTCAACACAGAAACTTTTTTTGAAAAACATAGACTCGACTGTATAAATATAAATAAATGTAGAGTGGAATTACCAAATGAGAAGGATAAAATTCTAAAATTCAAAAATTATAAGCACAAAGAAGCTGTACCGTTTGTTATATACGCTGACATTGAGTGTATTTTAGAGTCAGTGACAGATGTTTCTAAATCGTCAAACACAACGGTCTATCAGAAGCATGTTCCACACATCATCGCGTACTATCTACAGTGTAACTTTGACGACTCCATCTTCAAATTTAAAGCCAATCGTGGAAATAATTGTATACAGTGGTTTATGAACGAATTAAAAGAGTTAGCTGAATTCGTAGAATTTCATCTTAAGCGCAACGTATCTATGGAACCATTAAATTTTCAACAGAAAAATGAATTTTATTCTACACAGACTTGTCACATTTGTGAAAAACCGTTCACATCTGAAGATATCAAGCATCGCGATCATTGCCATTTCACGGGTAAATATCAAGGTGCTGCGCATCAGAGTTGTAATTTAAATGATAAGAACTCGCATACCATTCCTGTTGTGTTTCATAACTTATCTGGTTATGACTCGCATTTCTTGATTAAAGCCTTAGCAACGTCCTTCGAAGGTTCAATGAACTTATTGCCAGTAAACAAAGAACAATATATATTCTTTACGAAAAGCGATAAAGATACAATCGTAAATTTCAGATTTATCGATTCATTTAGGTTTATGCCAAGCAGTATTGATAAACTAACCTCGTATCTGAAAAGTAGTGAAAAATTAATCATACATAAGCATTGTAACAGTGAAAAAGAGTTTAACTTATTAACGAGAAAAGGTGTTTTTCCTTACGATTACGTGGACAGTTGGACAAAACTCGATGATGAGCAATTACCACCTAAAGAAAAATTTTATTCGGAATTAAATGATGAAGAAATTTTGGACTCAGATTATATACATGCATCTACAGTTTGGCAAACTTTTCACATAAAAACATTAGGCGAATATTCTGATTTGTATTTGAGAACGGATGATTTACTTTTGGCTGATATCTTTGAAAATTTCAGACGTAACTGCTCCTCTATATACAATTTAGATCCTCTTCATTATTATACTGCACCAGGCCTTGCTTTTGATGCTATGCTCAAGTGTACTGGCGTTGAACTTGAGTTGTTAACCGATGTAGAGATGTTGCTATTTATTGAGAGAGGAATTCGAGGTGGCGTAGCTCAATGCTTAAACAGATATGCCAAAGCGAACAACAGATTTATGGGTACAGAGTTCGATACAAGCAAAGAAGAATCATATCTTGTGTATTACGATGTCAATAACTTGTACGGTGCAGCTATGAGCCAATTTTTACCATTTGATTCCTTCGAATGGGAAGAAAATTTTGGAAATCTACATATTTGCAATATTCCCGATGATTCTTTTACGGGCTATATACTCGAAGTTCATATAGAACATCCAATTGAACTTCAAGAACTCCATAGAGATTTAACACTATGTCCAGATCAGTATACTCCTCCAAGATCTAATAAATTAAAATTGATGACAACGCTCCTCCCAAACGAAAGATACATAATTCATTATCGAAATTTGAAACAGTGTTTGACATTAGATATGAAGTTAACGAAAATTCACCGTGTTCTAAAATTTAGGCAGTCACTATGGCTCAAAAAGTACATAGATTTGAACACTGAAATGAGAAAAAAGTCGGATAATGATTTCGAAAAGAACTTCTTTAAACTTATGAATAACGCGATTTTTGGCAAGACAATGGAAAATGTAAGAAAACAAAAAGACGTTAGACTCATTACGAAATGGGATGGAGGGTGTGGAGTAAACCCTCTCGTAGCGAAACCAAATTTCCATAGCTCCACTGTCTTCGATGAAGATATGGTTATAATCGAATTAAGTCGTGTTAAAATTAAGTTCAATAAGCTAATATATGCAGGATTTTCCATTCTCGATTTCTCCAAAATATATATTTATGACTCTCATTATAATTACATAAAGAATACGTTTGGTAACCAAGCTAAATTAATGTATACTGACACTGACAGTCTTCTTTATCATTTTACCGTTCCGAACATATATGATTATATCAAACGGGATCTAGATAAATTCGATACTTCAGACTATCCCCCAGATAATGTTTATGACATACCACTAACAAATAAAAAAATATCGGGTCTGATGAAGGATGAAAACAATAGGAAAATTATGACTGAATTTATAGGATTACGAGCAAAATTGTATTCTTTTAGAATGCTAGGAGTAAGCAAAGATAAAAAGCGAGCTAAGGGGGTAAAAGGATCCACACTAAAGACAATCACTTTTAACGATTATAGGCAATGTCTTTTATACCACACAAATTTAGTTAAAACTCAAAATTTAATTTAGAGTAAACAACATAAAGTTTATACAGTAAAACAACAAAAAATAGCACTGAGCTGGAATGACGACAAAAGGGTCATTCTTCCTGATACGACCGACACCCTACCGTGGGGTTATAAAATGTAAGCTGTATATAATAAGAATGTACAAATGTAAATATTCTGTACAAATGAAAATAATAAAAAAATGCAAGCAAAAATTGAAAAAATACAACGGATGCTTTACGTTATTGCATATCACTTGATCCTTCAATGCAACGCCAGCTCCTAACCATCCGGATTGTTCCTTCTATGCGTTATCTTAATAAATAATTCTAAGAAGTCTCTCATACTCTTTGTCACATAGAGAGTTTGCAGGTAGGGAGATCGCTTTAACATGGCGCTTGCACCCGCTACGACTCAATTCAAAAATGGCTGACGAGTACTACGTACAGTTACTAATGTTTTTGTAGCCGTAGAATGGGTACAAAACGAACTTCGGCAAAGTACGCGCATAGCTGTTGAGAACGCTCTACGAATGAGCAACGCTTTTACACACGTTTTGTGCATACTTGATATCAATGGCGTTATAGCAGTTAAAGAAATGTACAATAATAACCAAATTTGGTTCAAAAGAATATAAGGTAAACATTGAAGAATTATTATAAGTATTTTACATTCTTTTATTTTTCACTAATTTTAATTTGATTATAACAAATAGTCTTTTGGTTTTACAATAATGTGAACAGCAGCAACAATAGTAGCAATAATAATAGTAATAGTAGCAGCAGCAGCAGCAGCAGCAGCAGTAGTAGTAGCAGTAATAGCAGTAGTAGCAATAGTGTACTAAAAATGAAAAAAATATATAATAGTTTCTTTTATACATTGTTTTCTTCTGAAAAAATTATTCATTTCCATAACTTGTCCATCCTTGGTAAAACCTACAAACCCGACTTATCGATCCAACTATTATGCGAACCATCGAAACCTAACCATTTCACAAATAGCTTGTTTCCACGTTTCCCCAGCGTCTTCTCCACAAGATATATGTCGGGATACTTGACGCTGGTAAGTTCATGTTCGTAGAAGCACTCTTTAATGGCGCAATTGAATTGGCGCTGAAACGCATATTTTTTAAAGGACAGAAATATTTAACTCGAAATTTTTTGAAAAATATATTTTTATTATGGATACATAAAGTTTATGAAAATCTGAATTCGGAACACCCTTGGGGCGATCGATTCGAGGTCATTTTGATGGAGATAACTCTATTCGAAATTGCTACTTTTACCAGCCAATGCACGACTTTTTCGTTGCAAAAAAACTTCCGGGAAAACTTTTGTGCGTATAGAAAATGAACAAAGTATTTCTTCTTAGTAGAATTATATTTTTGTTAATAAAAACAAGTTATTGTGACTCCTACAATGTATCAATAAAATAAAATAATAAGTTTCTCCAAATTACGTAGTCAAACCGACATTTTTTAAAATATTTTTGTTCACAGTTTGCTTCCCCGTTACCCGAACGAGATGTGGTCTCCGGTCCATGCAGTAGATTATAAATGTTTAGAGAAGAGCGCGAAAAGATACAGTTAAATGAGCAATAAAATCGCTCATCTAAAATCGATCACACAAGAGAATTTTCAATTCATTTAATTAAATAGAAATGCTTAATTCATATCGCTTTTAGTTAATTTGAAACGGTACTGTCTTTATAACTGTGAGTAGATTCAACGATAAATAACAGTCTTTAAATTTTTTTGCGATCACGTCGGCGATCACGTTTAATTAGATGTTCGAAGTGTCCACCATTTTGTTCAATGCACAATTTGATACGGCGTCGAAGATTTGATCTGCGCATTTTTGTAGTTTTCGAACTCTTACCTCACCAAACGCCCTGACGATGCGTTGTCGCATGTTTTCTGCCGTTGTTGGGGCCTCGCGGAATATTTTGTCCTTGATCGCACCCCATAAAAAAAATCGAGGGGCGTTAGATTCGGTGACCTCGGTGGCAGTAGTATAAGTTTGGGGGTTCTGGACCAGGAGACCTGTAACCGACATATACCGACACTCCAGAGCCTTCGAAGGTGGGTGTCCGTGCTAAGTTGCCGTCGTGAGCTCTACGATTTCCGGAAGTGACGTCACTAAGACCCCTCGATTCCAAGAATTTTCGCTCGATTCCGGGAATTTTGCGTCACATTCCGGGAATTTTGCGCTCGATTCCGGGAATTACGCACGATCGAGAACCTTCTAGAACATTCTAGAACCTTCTAGAACATTCTGGAAGCTTCGACGGTTCGTGTCCGTGCTAAGTCGGGAAGGTTCGCTCCCAGAGCCGGCGGTCCTCTCGCTCGACGTTTTGAGACAGCCCCTTGCCCCCCCATCCCGGTAAGCCTTCCAGAAGCTTCGACGGACAGGCAGTATAATCAGATTGAATTTCAATGTTTGTAATCGTGCTCTTAATACTATGTATACGTGTTAAATAAATATATACAACTTGTTATTATATCTTATGTCTTTATTCACAATCAAAAAATACATTCCAACAACAACCAATTCCTTAATAATTTAACGTTTTCCATCGAACATTGGAAATGGGAGGCATGATGATGCGAACAGCGAGTGAGTAAGTTCTTTCGCAGATTTTGCAGCGAAGGGCGTCCCAGATCTCCCAGATCCGCGATGTGTTCGGTTCGTCCAATGAAAGCTCCCAACCAAACTTTCTTCTCCAATCCTTTTACATAGATCTTAGATGCATTTTGCAGAATAACTCGAAGAATGTTTCTAGCTTGATTGTAAGCAATGTCCCCAGCGCTCCAGGATATACCATGAAAATTGCGCTCCAACCATAAATTTATACTTTTGTATTTAGCCGGTAGATGCTTCCATGGACAAGGCGGTTGAAACAGGAACGTTGCAGGTTTGGAGAAATTGTTGTCAACTCCAATCACGGATAGCTCCTTCAGGACAAACTCGTTCGAGGGTTTCTTGAAACCTTGTACGTCCATGATAAATTCCATTTTTTATGAACAGGAGGGCTATGATTACAGCGTCTTCATACCAATTTCTTCACCCCACCACCGATCGGGTTCTATTCCACTATACGATCGTGCAGGATCAGGCAGAATGCCGATGTATCGG